GTTGAGGAAAGTTACAAAGCTTATGCATCAGTGACAAAACAGATGTGAGATGGAATGTTCTAATTAAACTTGAACCATGTGTTCCTGCGTTTTACAGGTGCATATTTGCCTTGCCTTTGAATGTGTTTGTGACGTGTTCAGTCTTTGGGGCCGGATAACGATCACTTCGCGAAGACCCACTTGCTTATGTTTAGGGATTTCCACATATGGAAGTGCTGTCCGCATGTCTGCCGTGGAGCTTATGGTTCCTTTTTCTGTGGCATTGAATATTGCAACCTAGGTCAAACTGTGTCTGTGCAAACGTTGTAAAATGTAAATTTCACGTCAATGTAAATGTAAAGCGTCAATGAATGTAAATGTTTCCATTGCTCTGTTGGCGACGTATTGCGCCGAGTTGTAGATATTGCTCGAATATAAAAAATAATAATGAGCACCGGGAATAAGCTTTACACATTGAGCTCTTCTGAAGAATCGAACAGGGAATTAATTGTGACAAGCCACAGTTTTATCATCAGACTACCCCACCAACCTTGATTAGAGACTGAGAGATGAAACTTATACTCTCCCCCTTTAACACCTCTCCCCCTCATACTCTCCAACTTACTTCATCTAATTAGAATAATTTGCATATAATACGCATCCCTGTAAATGTAATATGACCCCAGAGGACACAGATTGTAATATATAATATCAAGTCCAAACAATAAACCTTCTGCCTGAAGGAAACCTCCCGGCCAGTGCTATGCTGGTTGAGCTCCCCAAGATGCTGGCTGATCGTAAAGAATACATTATGTCAACTTATTCAGACAGTATTTTATCTGGATGTCCAAACAAATGATTTTATACGTCTTAAATGTGATTTATCCCAAAAAGGAGGAATGACCAAATAGGTTAATCTGAAGGGAGCAGTCTAACTGTTTGTACTACTTGACACGCGATTCTGCCATATATTGTACCGAACTAAGATCAGGGAACACTATATCTGTGTGACTGTGTGCTGGGCAGGCTTCGACCTCGCCCATGGTGAGAGTGAAATGGGGTTTAGTTTTGCGTTCAATATCATTTATGTAGAAAAATCTGCGCTTACGTAGAAACAAATATCTCCATATATGACATCATAATCGTACAGATTGTTACCAAGACAATGATATTGTCATGTGAAGTTGCGATCCTAGTTGGATATAGTTCATAGACATAATGTTTTATTTAGATTTTCAGATGCTGGTCGTGTATTTTCATTTCGTATATTCTGCATTTCCACATTTTAATGAAATCATTTCAAATTGTCAAGCTATTAGCGTTAAAATAGAAGCAAACCTCAAGATATATTCATTACAAAACTTCGACACATCTAAATGAAGGGTTACTTTATTCAAAGAGTATAATGATTTGGGTAATACTGAACAAATGTCGACAAAAAGTATCAATGAAACTTAAGAAATGGATAGGAAAATATGGGGGTGTTTTTTATTTATCAACAATCCAATGGAAATAGATAGTTCCTAACTGGAAGTAAATAAATGTGAAGAAAAGACTTCGTTTATCATGAAACGACAACAAAAATGTATAAAATAAAATTGAAATGGCTTAGTTGGAGTAGAATAATTGCATTCATTATGAAGGTGAGGTGAGGTGAGGTGAAATTGGGTTTAACGTCGTGCTTGAGAATATTTCGCTCATATGACGACGTGCATGCGTGTGTATGTGTATGTGCGGCTGCTTGTACTAGCCCAGACTGAAGGTACTTTTATTGTGCTAGCCCACTCAGACACATTATACTGACTCGGAGCCGATCAGTCCTTTTTGTACTCATTAATGCCGAGCGCCAGACAGGGACCAACAAGTACCATATTTTAACGTCTTTTGGTATGACGCGGTCGGGGATCGAACCCGCGACCTTCCGCTCTCCAGGCGGACGCTCTAACCACTACACCACGGAGGCGGTCTTCATTATGAAGGACCACTAGTAGGTAGCCGTGACACTGTCAAGGTGGCCTTACATCGGGCGGGAGCAGATCATAGTGAACTCGGTTGTAGGAACAATAATGTGGGGTAGTATCTTACACCTCACCGACGGTGAAATTGTTTTGACCCGTGGGGCAGTATCGTACACCTCACCCACAGTGAAATTGTTTTGACCTGTGGGGTAGTATCTTACACCTCACCCACGGTTAAATTGTTTTGACTCACCCATGGTTAAATTGTTTTGACCTGTGGGGTTGTATCTTACACCTCACCCGCGGTTAAATTGTTTTGACCTGTGGGATAGTATCTTACACCTCACCCACGGTTAAATTGTTTTGACCTGTGGGGTAGTATCGTACACCTCACCCACGGTGAATTGTTTTGACCCGTGGGGTAGTATCTTACACCTCACCCACAGTGAATTTTTTTTTACCTGTGGGGTAGTATCTTACATAGATTGTCATTTTCGTGAATACGATTTTATTAGTTTAAAGTATTTTGTTATTGTTATATTTATATCCTTAGGCCGAAATATTTAGAAATGTAAGAAAGTCCACCAATTGGTTTATTTTTAAATATTGCACGTTGTAAGACGCAAGGGAAAAATACGCCATTCACAAGAAATTACAAGAAAAACATTTTGACAAAACGGCCACATGTACTTGTGTTTTGAATTAAATACAGTTTTCCAATAACTTCTATTTATCTCAGCTCTTTATTTTAATACAATGACCAATTGTGCGGAACTTTAATAATAGGTGTCGATGGAATCGCCAGAATCCGTTGATTGTTCGAATCCCTGTTAGCTTCAACAATGTTTTCACGTTCGTCAGCACCATACCCGTGCTCGTGGGTGTAACCAACGTGGTGAACGTCTAACACCTGCATTACTTCGGGTTTCCCTCCCACATTAAGCACCAGCACACTCACCCAAGGAGCATCATCTTCATCGTTAAAACTGTCACAGTTTTTCAGCAACTAAATATGATGTAGAAATGTTCCTGCATCCGTGAGTTTAAAATATTCAGGACATCTTGAAGTAAGCTATAGTTACCGATCATTAACATTGAAACATTTCTATTTTGGCTGTAAACTAAAGCTGACATGCCTTGGTATATTTGGAATATTGTTAAAAGCGGCGTTGGGCCCGCACACCCTCACTCAGTCTGTCTCGTGATTATCCGAAACCAGCCGCCATGTTGTGTCTCGGCACATCTTCACATGCGCAGTGCGTACTTTCCGGTGTAAATCAAGTAGCATGGAAGTTGCTCATACTTACTAAAACAAATTACTGGATGCACGTGAAAATTATTTTCCGCTTCTATATGTCGACAGCTCCTTTGTCCTTTTGTGTCAATTACCTTTTCTAGCGTGTAGTGTACGACAGATCACTCCGCCACAGGCGTCCAGTTGTACGAACGACCTGTTTAGTATACAACATGGCCCACTGATAGCCCATACATTCAGGGCCACAAATAACAAAGCACAAGAACAAAATCAGCCACAGGGCTCATTTAATTGTTGTCTCTTGCGTGTGAGACTTGAAAAAATGTTTCCCCAGTAACGGCGCTACGTACCTAAAACAACTCCGAGCAAAACTCTTATATTGTTCTGTAAGTATCTACAATATTCATTGAGTCTAGTTGAACGAGTTGCAGAAAGCAGTGACATGCAGGTTGAGGTCCTTAGGCTAAGAAAAGACAAAGTGATTATGTACTATAGCTGCCCAAAGATATTAAGAATTGATTCTTTCTTTTTACTCCATGACAGTTGTATATTATCTAAAGAATATGGTGGGCTTTACCGTCTTTTGAGTAGTACATATCTTTAAAATGGTATTGTAGTTGTAAAAAGTGTTTTTAAATGTTTACGGTGATAGTAGAAAATGTAATGAATCCATAGTCTCGATCGATTTGATCCCTTTGAAAACTCTATCGTCTCTATCTTATCTTTTCTTACCAACCCGTGAAGGTCCGGGTTAGAATATTGGCCTTCAGTAACCCATGCTTGTCGTAAGAGGGAACTAACGGGATCGGGTGGTCAGGCTCGCTTAACTGGTTGACACATGTCATCGGTTCCCGCCATATAGCTGGAATATTGCTGAGTGCGACGTAAAACTAAACTCACTCACTCACTCTGTTCTTACAGGCAAAGCTAAACTAAATCGCCCTGGTAGCCTAGCGGTTTCATTGTTTGACACCGAATATAGGTCTCATTTGACTGGAATATTTCTGAAAGGACTACTCACTCACTCATTAACTCACTCACTCATTCACTTACTCACATCGACCTCGGTGGTTATGTAATCTGATGTAGGTCAAGGTTTGGTAATCTTGATCGTCCCCATTAACCCTGTTAAAGATGCTTATGTGCATTTTATCACATGTAATACTCCAGTATAAATGTTGATACTCAGACCCCTATCTATGCTCTGTCGTAGATGATCCAATCACTGCGCCTTGTATGTGTACATCGACTCCAGATGTGTCTCAAATGTGCGTACATCTCTCCCAACGAGTGCCCAACACCCGTCTTCGAATAACCCTAAGGCACAACCAGCACGTGACGATGTGAATAGCGGAATGACTTTATTCAATCAACATGTTGATAATTCTCAAACGTTATTTGTTCCAATCTAATCTGAACGTACACCCAAACAGACCAGCACTGAGAACTGTCGAGGCTCCCTCAGACCCAAACCTCCGGCACAAACGCTCCATTATCAGATATCACCACTATATCATTCGTAGACAACTTCCAGAAGCTCCGTTATCAGAGGTCCGTCCTCGAAACCAAGACTTTATCGCAGCATTCCCCACAGCTACAAGACACTCCAAGTAGCGTTGACGAGAGGGTGGCGAAACAGGACTGCACAGATCCCAGCCATACCCTTCGTTTACGATCCAGACTCTATCTTGTCCCTTACCTACACGCTCGCCTCCACGTGTAGAGCGGCCTGGGTGTAGGGTTACGGTGTAGGTGTTGCCTTACTTCTCTGGTCGGCCTGTAGGTTGTCTCAGTAGCAGTTTGGGGATGATTTCCGTGAAGTGCCGCAATATATCTCTGATAGTACGCCATGCACGCTAGGGCTATAGAGTTGGTCTGTTTGATTACAAGAAACTCACTGGAAGAGGAACTCTAGTGACTGTGGACACGATATGGAGTGGGCTTCTGTGAACATATCGACTGGAAGTGAACACGATATTTAATGGACGTCTCGTATACTTGAATATGATCTCTTGGAGTTCTTGTGTATGTGAACATGGTCTTTGACTCAAAGAACTCCTTGGATTCCTCACCCAATATCTGAGACTGTCATCGGGGGCTATATCTGTCTCCCTGTGATGTCAATATATATGTGCCTGTATACCATTACTAAAGATTCCGTGAGAATGTTTACACTAGAGTATCGCCCGTTGACATGTCCAAGCAGACCTCTTTGATGTTTTATCGGATTTTGATTTGGTCAGCGTCTTCTGATGAATGACCACAGTGGACGACTGTCCTGTAATCTCTCCTGGACTCCGTGGTCAGTTTGACAAGGTGGTCCATTTGGATATCATTACCATTTCAAGGAATTAAGGTGAGAATGGGGTGCTTGCACATCTCTAAAGATTATCACGCATATTATCACATATTCATGTCGAAAATATGCATGTGGAATGTCATATGATTATTTTACGCCATCCCCACGTATGTATATATTCAATCTTTTAATAGGAACTGCGTGAAAATAAATCGTTACATAAATAAACCAATTACTAAATTAAATAAAACTGTTAACTGAGGTATAAACATAAATAGATCTAATTTGAGAGGAGAAGAAACGTAAAGTACACACTTCTGCACTGTGCCACATTAACCTTTTTCAATTTCGTCACGATTCCTATTCGAGGTAGCACGGTCATCCAGCATTCATTGTCGTGCATTATTCACAAGGGCAATTACACTTGGACCCGTCTGTGGAGGTAAAGTAGAGAAAGAGAGGTAGAAACACGAGCATTGCCTGCAGTTGTCGTCCCCACAATTGATGTTGGCACGATATGACGGCGCGGAGATGTTCCTGGAATGCTGTCGGTGGTTTTCTTGTATGTATTCGGGATAGACTCATTAGTATTTGGCTAACAAACATACCACACGGTTTGAATTACGATTTTTTAATTATGCGAAAACATGCTTCATGTTCCATTAAATGCCACGGTTAATGGCTGTGTGTGTTTGAAGATGTATCTGACCCAGATTTGTATGATTTACGGGGGAAATATAGTTCGCAACTGTCCCGAGTCTTGACATCATTGTACAGGTGTTAGAGCAGCTTATCATCTTAATGAAAAGCTATATGGACGTTTATCGTGTTTATTGGTTTGGAGGCTTCCGTGGTGATGTTTACTGCATGTCTAGATTCAACACGTAATTATGTTCTAGGGTCAGGGTCATCAGACGTGCTACCTTTTTCTGATTAATTCCCTTGCACATGGAAATGGCAGAGTACATTGGTGTATTTGACTCGGGTCTGGTTTGTTGACAAGTGTACGTCCTTTGTAATGCACGACGTGTAAATGTTATCAAAATGTCGATAGGTAAGAATCTCAGATGCGCCTGTATTGTGGGGTTTTATCGTGTTAGCTGGTTCGGCGTAAACGCGGGATCATCGTGGGATTGTTGTCGATGTAACAGCTGAAGCCAAGAAACACTTCAATAACGCCAAATTTGTAATTGCCGGATAGTTCATACGGGCGTCATCGAGAATGTAAATTAGGTGCATCAAATATAGACTGATGTCAGTTGAATAATGTCAGTTGAGGTGAATAATTTTGTATGCCAATCGCCAGCATATGAGTGATCTGAGCGTCAGAGTAGGTAAAAAGATAGCATACGAGTGTAAGCATGAAACCACATAGGATAGTAAGTATGGGGCATTAACTGATGTGTGTAAGACATTATGCAAGAGGGACGCATGAAACTACATAAGATTGTAATCAGGGGGGCATTATAAGTTATAGAGACATTATGCGAGATGTAATCACGATACATCAGAGGAGTGGAAGTCAAGGGAATTATAAGAGTTATAGGTGTGAGACATCATGCGAGCTGTAATCACGATACAACACAGGAGTGTAAGTCAAGGGAATTATAAGAGTTATGGGTGTGAGACATCATGCGATCTTTAATCACGAGACAACACAGGAGTGTAAGTCAAGGGAATTATAAGAGTTATGGGTGTGAGACATCATGCGAGCTGTAATCACGAGACAACACAGGAGTGTAAGTGAAGGGAATTATAAGAGTTATAGGTGTGAGACATCATGCGAGATGTAATCACGATACAACACAGGAGGAAGTCAAGGGAAGTAGTCAAGGGAAGTATAGTCAAGGGAATTATAAGAGTTATAGGTGTGAGACATCATGCGAGCTGTAATCACGATACAACACAGGAGTGTAAGTCAAGGGAATTACAAGAGTTATAGGTGTGAGACATCATGCGAGCTGTAATCACGAGACAACACAGGACTGGAAGTCAAGGGAATTATAAGAGTTATAGGTGTGAGACATCATGCGAGATGTAATCACGATACAACACAGGAGTGTAAGTCAAGGGAAGTCTAAGAGTTATAGGCGTGAGACATCATGCGAGCTGTAATCACGAGACAACACAGGAGTGTAAGTCAAGGGAATTACAAGAGTTATAGGTGTGAGACATCATGCGAGATGTAATCACGATACAACACAGGAGTGGAAGTCAAGGGAATTATAAGAGTTATAGGTGTGAGACATCATGCGAGCTGTAATCACGAGACAACACAGGAGTGTAAGTCAAGGGAATTACAAGAGTTATAGGTGTGAGACATCATGCGAGCTGTAATCACGAGACAACACAGGAGTGTAAGTCAAGGGAATTACAAGAGTTATAGGTGTGAGACATCATGCGAGCTGTAATCACGAGACAACACAGGAGTGTAAGTCAAGGGAATTATAAGAGTTATGGGTGTGAGACATCATGCGAGCTGTAATCACGAAACAACATAGGAGTGTAAGTCAAGGGAATTATAAGAGTTATAGGTGTGAGACATCATGCGAGCTGTAATCACGAAACACTATAGGAGTGTAAGTCAAGGGAATTATAAGAGTTATAGGTGTGAGACATCATGCGAGATGTAATCACGAGACATCTTATCATGTCTTTACCTATATCAGCTTAAAAAGCCCTTGTTGAGTGGTTCTGGATTCTCAGTCTGGGCCCTTGTATATCTCCACAGGTTCATAAACAGTACACAGAGCCCCGAATGAGTTCGGCGATTGTGCGAAGATTCTGAAGCGACGGAGTTAATGCAATTATGCGAAATTACAGTTCAAGGAGGAAAGGGAGAATATTCTCACATGATAGAATCAAGGCGATTATACGAACATTCTCTAGTTATAGTGGCAATATGAGAATGTGGACATTCTCAGGTGAAACTGGTATTGCGATCAAGTGACAGAGTGTACATAATTATTGGAATATTCTAACGTGACAGTATAAATATGGCTAAAACATTCTAAACAGACAGAATCAAGGCGATTATACGCTAATTCTAAACAGACAGAATCAAGGCGATTATACGCACATTCTAAACAGACAGAATCAAGGCGATTATACGCACATTCTAAACAGACAGAATCAAGGCGATTATACGCACATTCTAAACAGACAGAATCAAGGCGATAAAGCGAATGGATCTCTTCAGCCTAAGATCATACGATGCTTCTGAATAAACGATGTAGGATTAAATAAAACAAATCATCGTGCGATAAAATACTAAAAGTGAGAGAAGGTCGTAAGATCCTTCTGATATAACCGAACCGATTACGATATAGACGCGAAGACGTCTGAGGGAACTTCCCGGCGAACTTTCATCAGAGTGAGAGCAGGGTGAGCCCCACTAACGGTATCTCTCCATGATGGCCATGTTGGCATTAGGGAGAGTTGGATCACAGTGATGGGAGGAGAGCTTGTCTTGTGACATGAATGAGGGAGTGTTTCTCGGCATGATTCGAAACACCGCTGCTGGGATTGCAAACCATTACATTCTGTGTGTTGCAAACAGATGTCCAAACCAGAGATAAAGTCAAACATAGACACACCTTCTGACAAAATTCCGGATTTAAAAGTACAATCTGAAACCACAGTAGTATCAGTTATCTGTTTGACAAAATCATAAGAAACAAAACTATTTTTATTACATATTAACGACGTAACCCTAATCTCAATCTCTCTAAATGAGTATGGTTACATACAGTTGTATACTATCAGCCCTGTGTTATTATGACATTTATGAATAATAAACATCGAATTTAATCAATTCAATATTTCAATTTTCCTTTTAAAAACTCAGACTTAAATTCAGTTCGAAATGTCATCGGTAATGTGATACGTACGCTTATCCTTACTGCAACCTTTTCGCCCTTCTTGTACCCACACTGCAACCTTCTCGCTCTTCATGTACCCAATATCCTTGTGTGCATGCAAATAAGAGCAGAAGGAACAATGAAATGAAGTTCGAGTGGACACCTTGCAACGGAGACCTGTCGTATTTTGACCTTGAATATGAAAGCATCCTGTCAGCAGTCAGCGGGTTCTTGTATGTCTGTCATACGGTGCAGGTTTACCGTATATTCCAACTAATTGAGAAAGGAAACACCCTATTACCGTCGTAGCTTGTTCAAGATGAAAAAGACAAGGTAAACGACACGCTACACTTTCCATTAATTGCTATAGCGTGAGAGAATTACTCGTCGGTTATGTTTAATTAATTCTGCACTTCTGCAAAGGTAGCGCGGCTGGGAACACATTAATTCCTCATAAAACAGTCTACTATTGGTCGGCTACAAACTTCCAGTACGGAGGCTGGTGTATCTAGCCATCTAGCAGCTGAACAATGACTGCCTCACCTGTGTAGGCTAGATAACATTGTGGAAGACTGGCGTGGGTAATTGGCCACCGTCTCGATGCTCCTATTGTTCTACTGTGAGTATTTGGGCTCCAACTGGTTCATGTGCTGTTAATAGACTACATGTTGGTGAGTCACTTGCTTCATGTTTAATGTAACGTCGAGGCTCGGAGATGACTTGGACGTAGTGATGGCCGGGTGCACGTGGTGGATGATTAGGTTAGATCCAGTGTTGTGTCGGATTTCGTGGTGGACGGTTGGGTTAGATTCAGTGTTGTGTCGATATACGTGTTGGGTGGTTTACGTTAGATCCAGCGATCGGTGGGTTGATGATTAGGTTAGATCCAGTGTTGTATCGGTTTTCGTGGTGGACGGTTGGGTTAGATCCAGTGTTGTATCGGTTTTCGTGGTGGACGTTTGGTAAGATGCAGTGTTGTATCGGTTTTCGTGGTGGACGGTTGGGTTAGATCCAGTGTTGTGTCGATATACGTGTTGGGTGGTTTAAGTTAGATCCAGCGATCGGTGGTTTGATGATAAGGTTAGATCCAGTGTTGTATCGGTTTTCGTGGTGGACGGTTGGGTTAGATTCAGTGTTGTGTCGATATACGTGTTGGGTGGTTTAAGTTAGATCCAGCGATCGGTGGGTTGATGATTAGGTTAGATCCAGTGTTGTATCGGTTTTCGTGGTGGACGGTTAGGTTAGATGCAGTGTTGTGTCGATATACGTGTTGGGTGGTTTAGGTTAGATCCAGCGATCGGTGGGTTGATGATTAGGTTAGATCCAGTGTTGTATCGGTTTTCGTGGTGGACGGTTGGGTTAGATCCAGTGTTGTATCGGTTTTCGTGGTGGACGGTTGGGTTAGATTCAGTGTTGTGTCGATATACGTGTTGGGTGGTTTAAGTTAGATCCAGCGATCGGTGGGTTGATGATTAGGTTAGATCCAGTGTTGTATCGGTTTTCGTGGTGGACGGTTGGGTTAGATTCAGTGTTGTGTCGATATACGTGTTGGGTGGTTTAGGTTAGATCCAGCGATCGGTGGTGGACGGTTGGGTTAGATCCAGTGTTGTGTTGGGTGGTTTAGGTTAGATCCAGCGTTCGGTGGATGGACGGTTGGGTTAGATCCAGTGTTGTGTTGGGTGGTTTAGGTTAGATCCAGCGTTCGGTGGGTGGACGGTTGGGTTAGATCCAGTGTTGTGTTGGGTGGTTTAGGTTAGATCCAGCGTTCGGTGGGTGGACGGTTGGGTTAGATCCAGTGTTGTGTTGGGTGGTTTAGGTTAGATCCAACGTTCGGTGGGTGGACGGTTGGGTTAGATCCAGTGTTGTGTTGGGTGGTTTAGGTTAGATCCAGCGTTCGGTGGGGTAACGGTTGGGTTAGATCCAGTGTTGTGTTGGGTGGTTTAGGTTAGATCCAGCGTTCGGTGGATAGTGGTTGGGTTAGATCCAGTGTTGTGTTGGGTGGTTTAGGTTAGATCCAGCGTTCGGTGGATAGTGGTTGGGTTAGATCCAATGTCGTGTTGGTGTACGTGACGAATGAATTGGTTGAATATAGTCATGGATGCATTATAGACTGGCTGGGAGGTGAGTTCGATCCAGTGATGTGTGATGGGCATGTTGCAAGCAGAGTTAAATCAATGGTACGGGAGGTAAATGATACGGTGGCGGATATCACGGATGGATGAGTGAGTAAGTTTTACGCCGCACTCAGCAATATTCCAGCTATATGGCAGCGGTTCTGTAAATAATCAAGTCTGGACCAGACAATCCAGTGATCAACAGCATGAGCATCGATCTGCGCAATTGGGAATCGATGACATGTGTCAACCAAGTCAGCGAGCCTGACCACCCGATCCCGTTAGTCGCTTCTTACGACAAGCATGGGTTTATCAAGGGTGGATGTTTCGAGCAAGCTCTGTCTGACTTGTGGCCATGATTAGATTTTTTGTTTACTGCTGCACTCAGCAACCTGTAGGTTAGACAGAGGCATGCATGCAGGAAACATGAAATACATGCATTAATTAAATTTTGTACTTTAGTTGTTACAGTAAATACCCCAACATCACACTATTAGAGAAAACGTATACCCCTCACTACCCTCTCCCATATTCCATAGCATCTATTCCAAATAAAGTGACAATCATTTGTCCGACTTGTTTTAAATTGATAAGACATCAATGTTGTCTGATTCCGTAATCTTCCCTATCCCGCCTGTCTCCCTATCGCCTGCTTCCAGCTGTCGTCTGCGTGAGTTATATAAGTTTTCCTGTGCTTTTTCTCCAGATTACTATGGTAGTGCGTGTCGGATTTCCCAGTTAATTCTTTTCGCAGTCAGTGGAGCAATGCTAGGCGTTCTTTGTTGTTTCTCTAGTGCGCCAGTGCCTCTCCGTGAGTCTGTCTGCTGCTTCTAGGAGACATGCTGGTGATTCCATTCCTTTAGTAGGTCACATGGGTACAGAGAGCATAGATGCATTCCCGCAGTGGACACATTGGTACAGAGAGCATAGATGCATTCCTGTAGTAGACATGTTGATACAGAGAGCATAGATACATTCCTGTAGTAGACATGTTGATACAGAGAGCATAGATACCTTCCTGTATAGACATATTGGTACAGAGAGCATAGATGCATTCCTGTAGTAGACAGATTGGTACAGAGTGCATAGATATATTTCTGCAGTAGACATGTTGATACAGAGAGCATCGATGCATTCCTGTATTGACATATTGGTAGAGAGAGCATAGATGCATTCCCGTAGTAGACATGTTGATACAGAGAGCATCGATGCATTCCTGTAGTAGACACATGGGTACAGAGAGCATAGATACATTCCTGTATAGACATATTGGTACAGAGAGCATCGATGCATTCCTGTAGTAGACACATGGGTACAGAGAGCATAGATGCATTCCTGTAGTAGACACATTGGTACAGAGTGCATAGATACATACCTGTAGTAGACACATGGGTACAGAGAGCATAGATACATTCCTGTATAGACATGTTGATACAGAGAGCATCGATGCATTCCTGTAGTAGACACATGGGTACAGAGAGCATAGATACATTCCTGTATAGACATGTTAATACAGAGAGCATCGATGCATTCCTGTAGTAGACACATGGGTACAGAGAGCATAGATGCATTCCTGTAGTAGACACATGGGTACAGAGAGCATAGATGCATTCCTGTAATAGATACATTGGTACAGAGAGCATAGTTACATTCCTGTGGTAGGCATGTTGATACAGAGAGCATAGATACATTCCTGTAGTAGACACGCTGGATTCTGGCTCGTTATGTGTACACTGCCCAGTGTCAGAGCACCCGCTGGATTCTGGCTCGTTATGTGTACACTGCCCAGTGTCAGAGCACCCGCTGGATTCTGGCTCGTTATGTGTACACTGCCCAGTGTCAGAGCACCCGCTGGATTCTGGCTCGTTATGTGTACACTGCCCAGTGTCAGAGCACCCGCTGGATTCTGGCTCGTTATGTGTACACTGCCCAGTGTCAGAGCACCCTCCTGATTCTGGCTCGTTATGTGTACACTGTCCAGTGTCAGAGCACCCGCTGGATTCTCGCTCATTATGTGTACACTGCCCAGTGTCAGAACACCCGCTGGATTCTCGCTCGTTATGTGTACACTGCCCAGTGTCAGAGCACCCGCTGGATTCTCGCTCGTTATGTGTACACTGTCCAGTGTCAGAGCACCCGCTGGATTCTCGCTCGTTATGTGTACACTGCCGAGTGTCAGAGCACCCGCTGGATTCTCGATCGTTATGTGTACACTGCCCAGTGTCAGAGCAGTAGTAGTAGTAGTAGTTATACTGGTAGCAGCATTGTTACTTACAATTATAGTAACAGTAGTTGCAGTAGTGGTAGTCTTCGTCGTCGTCGTTGTCGTCGTAGTAGTAGTAGTAGAAGCAGCAGGGCACTTTCAATTATAGTAACAGTAGCCGTTGTTGTAGTAGTAGTAGTAGTAGTAGTAGTAGTAGTAGTAGCAGCAGCAGCAGTGGCAGTTTCAGTTATAGTAACAGTAGTTAGTAGTAGTAGTAGCAGTAGTAGTAGTAGTAGTAGTAGTAGTAGTAGTAGTAGTAGTAGTAGTAGTAGTAGTTATAGTAAAAAAGGTAGTAGTACTTACAATCGCAGTAGTAGTAGTAGTAGTAGTAGTAGTAGCAGCAGCAGTAGGAATAGTAGTGGTGGTGGTGGTAGCTGTGGCGGAAGTAGCCGTGGCAGCAGAAGTAGTAGCCGTAGCCGTAGTAGTAGAACAATCGTTAGTTCTGTCTTTACTTTTTATGGTACTTTTCTCTGTAGAGTGTATAAAATATAATATGAAGAGGACGAAAACCCGTGCTCGTTCGGTATTAAGTTGTATGAATGAACGTTCATATTCAAAAAGATGGAAAGAAACGCACTTTTCAAAAGTTCAAAAATCTTTAAACACCAGTTACACTTTTTTGCAATTTATTCCACTATCGGCATATCTTGCCTACAGCTAAACTGTAAAAGAAGTGGAAAATATGAAAAATTTCCGGAAACTCTTTCGGAAACCATGTGAAGATTTTAATCTAAATCATTTTACACGCGTGTAACTTAACCTAACGCTCTTAATCCCTTGGGTAGTTCGAGTGTGCCGAAGCTAAAGAGGTTAGAGGAATGTTTGTCTATTTGCTTATTTGGAAGGCAGAGCATATGGTGTCTTCATGGTTATTTTCCTTCCCCGACGTGTGTGTTGCACCAACTATTGCAGTAATTTTATTTACATTTCAAGCGATATTTGAGCTTTTTGATCTTTCAAATACAAATGCGCCGATAAGCTAAAACCATGTTCGCGTCCTTGTCCGACCCGCTTACGCACATCAGAGAACGGTTGGAAAGTCACGGCGCCAAGTGACGCGATTAATCGTTTAATCTTTATGTTAGTTGGCTGAGAGCATATCAACCCTTTGATTTAAAAAAAGTTGTGAAATTTTAATAAGAGTTTTAAAAATTGTCTTTGAGTATTTATGTTAAAGGAACTGATCCGGTTTGTGATTCCATTTAATAGGATGCATCGTGAGTTCGTTGCCATTGCAGAAGTAGTATGTTTTTTTGCAGTTCTCCCGTATACATAATAAAAAGCTACACTGTAACACAACCTACCTGCTACAGTTTAGTGTATGAGAGAAGCACGAGTAAAAAGTTCTATACACGCTTGAAAAATGTCTAAAAATGTTTCTAGAGAATACGATGGAAACATATGCTATCTGCTTCATGAGATATAAATAACGTGTAAACGCTTGAAAAGTTTATGTTGCACATTATCTGTTTGAGATATATTTTACAAACATGGAACCACAAAAAGAACCAGGGATGTTAAGAAATCAACATGCGCATCATGCTTTGAGAAATATATGCCAACCAGACTAAGCATACACAAAACACTTCACCTTAGTGTCCGGTAATAAGAGAGCTGTCTGCTAGTAACGCTATGTCTTAGACATGTACGTGTTGTTAAAGATTTGAAATCAATGTGCATGAAATGAGCACGATCTTAGCGCTGCTAACAAATATGCTTGCTGTCTATTGGCAGGTAACAGTTCAGAAACACAAGCTGGATGCTGACGGGGGGTCGGGCCTTGTTGGCACCGTGGATCTCTTGTTACTTCAGCAGCATGGGAAGTCACACCCCAGCTAACCAATCAGCGTCCACGCATGATATTCACGAGTAAAGACTCGCGCGAGCACTCGAGGTGAAACGAGCTTCTCCAATACTGCGCCAGGATACGCATGAAAAACGTCAGGCGATATACTCAAGGAGAACAACATTTCCCAGACCATTTGTTACACTTCCAGAGGATCGGGGCGATGATCGAGACAAAGTTTGTGATCTGGTTTTCAACTGATTGTATTCATGTGTAGTATTGTGTAGTACACGTCTCCACTATGCTGGGATACCTGTTGACTGTGATTTGCTGGTTATGTTGTGCCACTGTTATTGTGGATTGTGAACCTCTCAGCGGACCAGTTGTGAAGATTGGAAGATGTAGAGCAAGGTGTTTGGATAAGGTGAGTGACATGACATTTCATTGTGGTAATAGTATTCATCATAACCATCCCTCATATGGGTTGAATTAGCTTTACAAACCGTTCTTTAGTCGTATAAACGTACATGTTTGTTTTCAGATAGTCAAAAGTAATTTGCACATTAAACGAAACAAAGTATCAGTTAAGACGAGGGAAAAGGCTTTTGTTCATTGCCACACTCTTGTACGAAAAAAATAAGAATAAAATAATCTAATATTAAAAGTCTGTAGCAATTGTCGGGCCACATTGATCGTTTGACTTGATACAGAACCTAATTTCTTTCATTTGGACGGAATCGTGTAGATTTCAGCATTTTCCTTGTAAATTTCACCTGTGATTGAGCCAGTCGTGTGTTACATAGCGCTGTCGGTAGCTGTGAGGAGTTTTACTGTCACAGCTATCACACATTAACCCCTTGTATAATTCAAATTCAAGCCATGACCCACCAAATTTCGATTTTCCCATAACCTCATAATCCAGGGGTGATCGGTGAGTTGATTGATTTCCAATCAGCTGATCACCTCTACGACAGGTATACGGAACTCTAGACACATAAACCGGCGCGTTGAAATGTAAGACATGTCAATATCGCATGTACATTACACCTCGTTGATGGGAGAAGTCGTTTATGACAAGGTGTTGGAAATATTACGAGAGACTGTTATAACTTGAGATTACTTGTCGTTCAATACGATTCCACCGGGGAGGGTGTTATGGCTCAATACATAAAGCAGGTAGTTTCTCTTCCCCCATAGATTTGACAGACCTGTCGTCAGATAATGACATGGATTACATAGCCGTGAGGCCAGGGTGTTGTCCCTGAAAGGCTCATGTCGACTCCTTCGAACCCCCCTCTTAAATTTGATTAATCGATACTCGACGGAGAAGAAACAATCTGTGCACTTTTACGGCGTTTCTCTTACCTGTACTCGGGACATGATTTCGATTTTTCATTTATGGTTTGCCTGAAGGGTCAATAGTAGTTATGCTGATTTACATTTAGCCATGCTATTATCATAATGGATGTGTCCTAATCGCATTAAAAGGTTGTTTAACGATAATGTACATCATTAGGTCTCCTTGGCGTAATGAGTATATGCATTTAATTTCGGTGAAAATCATTTCTGTCAAAGTTTCTATACCACTTGTCTCGATAACTTGACAGTTTAAGTAAGACAGTTGATTTGTGAGGTATCGTGCTTTTTTTTGTTAAATAATAAATGGAATTTACTTCCTTATAACATAATCTCCGAGCCTTACATAAGCGTATTTCTTTTCACTTAACCCAGTTCATATGTGAAGTGTTTCATACAAAATATTCTGTATGACCCATCTAACCAATCCGATACCTACACTGTAAAAATGGTGTTAAGGATCTAAACAGAAAACTAAACGCGTATCTTGTCCTGGGTTTTGTTCGCGTTTAGCTCCCTTTACATGTTTAGTTACCTAAACATGTTTAGAAATGTGTTTAAAATCTAAACACGTATAGATATCAGGCGTAATATCACCGCCGTGCTTAGGTATTAAACACTATCCTGAACGTGTTTAACGTCAAACATGTAACGGTAGTGTTTAAATGCTAAACGCCGTTTTTACAGTGTATGTAAGCCGGACATAATTATATCGAAGATATGCTGCAATATCAATTAACTTGCTTCGACTTCTATAAAAAACGGAGACTTTGTATCCATTTTGGCTCATAAAAATTAGAGCCGAGGAACTGTCTAGTGAGAGTTTTGTTTATCACGGAAGCTGTACCAGGTAAATCGTCCACTAAAAGCAATGTTTTTTCTTATGTGGAGAAAATATGCATACAAATTAAAACATTAGAACAAATCTGTAACTCTGTTCCAAGTGAGTGAGCAAGCAAAACTGAAAATTAACGTCACATCGGTCTGTATTCAGCAATAAAACGGGAGAAGCATACAAATATGATAATAAATATACAATTTATAAGATTTACTTATTTACATATACTACTACACATTTGACAGGTATTTATGATTTCTGATATCCCTTACTAAATTGGAGTAGTGTATAACATAGCTGGATTGCACTCTGACTCACAATGCTGTTCCGTACCATTTGATACGAAAGAGCATGATGGCTCTAAACCCATAATCACGTTGCACAAAGTCAAGTAAATCTTCCTAACACAAACCGAACCTATTTCCCAGATCGGGACGGGGAGCTATCCAGGTAACAAGATTTACTGACATACTGATGTGTGGGAAGATTAAGCCGGATTCATTATCCCCGATTATTTGGTAACTCCTACGATTATGCTGCCCCCCGCGCCGAGACCCCTGACACGGCGACTCGTGACGACTACAGTGGCCATCCGTTGGTAGCAGGTTGACACCTGTAATCTGTGTGTATTTCACAGTGCATGTCAAATGACAGCGTAAATTGGCATGCCACCTTCGACCCATGTATGGTAATTAGCGGTTAATGTAAACACTTGTGATGAAGGTTGCCAGTTGCTGCTACAGGTATAATTACCGTTATATATGTTAAGCACGTAACTCCTCTCCCTCGGTGACACGTACATCGCTAGCTGTGTTTCGACGAGGAAACATTTTGCTAATTTATATGTTAATTTAAATTATTAGACTTGCCTCGCATTCTCACTAATATACGATGGTAGACTAACGCCTAGTCTCTGGCAATATATAATTTTGACCGAAACAAATAGCTCCATTTAAATTAGAAATGATCCCCACCTGAATCTGAAAAAGACTTTCTTCTTTGAGGAATTGCATTACTGAAAGGGTTAAGCTCGCGGGCGCGGGTGCTAAGAAAATGGGGTTTAGGGACTGAGCTAAACTAACGATATATATCAACTGGTAGGATATTAGTAATCTGGTAATATGGGCATATTCGAAGTTGTGGCATTGATATACAAGGTAAAACTGATTTCTAAAGTAATATGTCATTCCAAACTTAACTGGGTACAATATTCGAAGCCCATTTCTGGTAGCATCGCCGTGATGTTGCTGGAATATTGCTAAAGCGGCGTAAAACTATACTGTCAGTCATTCGAAACTTAATCGTTGTTCCCGTCCCCATCATGACTATACAGACAATACTCTGAAATTATTTCAACAATATTTTTTTAATTCCGTGGGTGGGCATCTCCTGCACTGTTTACTTTTTACAACAGAAAATAAAATCCCACGTTAGTTTTTGCTACATTTGAACCCTTAATTGTGTATCTTGAGTGGTTGTTTTATCTCGTTTAAGCTTGGACACTCTTGACTCTCTTAGGCTTAATGGTTTCATGTATCACGTATTGAATTAAGAGCCTATAAAGACAATGTTCGGGGGTAGCAAAATGGTATTCTCTTGATTGAGGGGCGTTGGGGTAGCCTAGTGGTTAAAGCGTTCACCCGTCACGCCGAATACCCGGGTTCGATTCCCCATATTGGTATAATGTGTGAAGCCCATTTCTGGTTTGCCCCGCCGTGATTTTGCTGCAATATTGCTAAAAGCGGCGTAAAACTAAACTCACTCTCTTTATTGCGTCTTTGTGACAAGACCGTTGCTCTTGCTATCAATCATTGGTTTGTCGCTTAAGATTCAAGTATGTATAGACCCTCAGATAAACCCGTAGCAGTGGGCTAGATTCTTTCTCGATCCCCCGTATCCTGACCGATCTCTACCTTCCGAAGTTTGACCTTCTCCACCACCGCCAAACCATGACCCCCTTTCCCATCCCCCCTTTCCCATCCCTACCCCAGCCGTCCCCATTCCGATCAACTGTAAACAGAACCCCACCTACACAAATGCCGATTTCCCATCTTACATTTGTCCACCTCGCGCTAATTCCACAACTCCTGCACTTTACCCCCATCAATGTACCTGACCCGCAGCCGTCGTCCCGTACCCCCAAGTCCATACCACCAGTGTAGTGTAGGATTACCCCCGGGACCACGTGCGACCACTTAATGCATTAAGTAATCGAGACATCGCACACGATGATAGATCAAGAGTTACGCTAAGGAACTCTAATCCCTTCGTTACCGGGCCCTCAGAAAACACGAGCAACCTGTAGTCCCAACCCTTCCCTTCTAGCAACATCTGGAGAACTCCTTGCCAACACACGGCCACGAATATGAAATTTACTACCCCATGCCTACGTCAATACATATTTAGTAAGTGATTATAACAGTTCGTCTTTCCCCGTCAATGCCTTTGTTCCCAGTTCGAGCCAAATTTGGTACAAGCGTTTCTCGGGGCATGCAAATTAATATTTAGTTTGGATCTTCTTGCAAACATGAAAGTACTTTTTAAGAGTTTGTCGTAAATGTCGAAGTACTCATTAATGAATTATTACTCGCATATATCGCATTCAAGTCTATGAAATTTGTTAACGAAGCTTTAAGGAATTCTCATGTCACAATGTTATGACGTCAGTGCCTTAACCTATTCTCCCATAAGTGTTTGAAGAATTGTGTTGTTTACACATGTAGTTGAACATGTGACATATTGAAAGAGAATCGCAATTTGTAAAGTAAACATGTTGTCCTTAACCCAGAATGAAAATCCGCATTTTCGTAGTATTACCCAAATCTCGTCTATTTAAACAATCCAGATTACCCCGGAACGAATCCAAGGTGTCTTTTCATCATGTTTTCCGTCTGAGATAGCCTTCAGCCTTATTCCGAAAGGATAAAACATTTACAACGACTTTTGTATCTTAACTTGGCTTTTGAAGCCACAAACGGGGACGACAATATCAACAGAATCCTATTGCCGAGGCTTCCTGGATAGAAAGTCGTAATAAATTACTTACTAAAGTTCAAGGCATCAAAACCACATAAAAAGCGACGTTTTTGATTAAATGCTTATTTGATATCTCTGTTGTTCACGTTTAGCCTACAGAAAATAAACACGAAAACTGATTAACACCAGGAACACCACAGCTCGCGGAAATGACATGTCGTAAACCGGATATGTTCAGCTTTTTCAGACAAAGT